AAAAAATCTCTCTACATTTGGTTCAATAATAAAATTTACTTATAAAATTTGCAAATCCTCTCCAGTTGATAGATGGATTGTCTATTAATCTTTTGTCTTATTTATTTTTTTTCTATTTATCTTTTCATTATTTAAAAATATGTATACTTGTTCTGACTATGTACTAAGTTTTGTTTAATTTAAACATATAAGGCTTAGCTGATTTTTTACTTAATATATTTAGTTTATCTCAATTTAAATAAATATATATTTTTTTTTTTATATTTTCTTTTTATTTTGATATTTATAGTTTTTTATATGAGTAGAATTAAGAATTTATTTCTATTGATATAGTAAGTAATAGGTCTTGCTTATTGTATTCCTGGAATAAGGGTTTTTCTAATTATTTTTTTATTATTTTCAAGTTTATATATTTCAAAATATGTTATTTCTAAATAAGTTTTTAATTTTACACTTTTGATGCTTTGTTGACAATATATTTACTTATATAAAAAATTATTTACTTTAGATATCTTCTATAATATTTTTTTTGTAATTCAGGTTTTTGGAGTGTTGACCAAAGAATTGTCAAAAAAAGTTTTGCTATAAAGAATATAATAATACAAATTTATCAAAAATTAGATTACTATAATTATTAATATATAATAAAAAATATTTTATAATAATAATCTAAATATTATTTTTTATATAAATTCAATAATTTTAATATAATAAATTTAAATTTTTTAAAACTTTAAAAATATTTGATAATTATCTAATCAATTGTAATAAATTTTAGAAAATTGTGGGTAGAGATTGGAATCGGTTTTAATAATTTGGGGTTGTCACGTGAATTTTGTGATATTTTAGAATTTATTAAAATTTTAATTGGATTAAATTCTAAAATATTACAAAATTCATATGATAAACTTGAATTATTAAAACCGGTTCCAACCTCTAATTGAGGGGAATCTTAGATATGGCATATAGAGGGTAACTATAATAGTATAGCGGAGCCCAATGACTAAAGTTGTATGCTACGTGTGTCCATATGTATCCTCGTCAGAATGTACTATGTTCGGGCCTTTGGAGGCACTGATGATCCTGAAATACTGAAATACACTCATTAAAAACAATAAGCCAAAGAGGCTAGCTTAACTTCAAAAAAAATTTTTTTTTAGGAAATTACTATTTATACCCCATATTTGCAATTGATATCCAGCTTATGTAACACTAACTGGGAGTAGTGATGTAAAAAAGAAAGTAATCTAGCTTTACTATAACATTTTTACAACCTAAAATGATGTAATAATCAATGCAACTTGAATAAAAGCATGGCAAAGGCAAAGAGGCCATCTTAAAAAAAAACAAAAAAAAAATTTACAACCAGACTGCGTTAGAGTCAATTAACTTTGAATTTTTGTAATTTAATTATTAACTATTATTTTTTGGTAAATTTGGTAATGTAAAATTTGCATTCTGAAAGTTTGATAACTTTCAAAAAGATAAGCTTCAAAAAACCTTTTTTGCATTCCTAATATCTTTATATTTGGTGAATTAACTCCGGGAGAAATTTGAGGAAAGTAACTTAAAACACAATAATAAATTAAAGATTATCATCCACAATTTCGAATAAATAATCTACACAGCAATTTAAAGAACTTAGCGATCTAAATAACTTAGCGGTTTAAAGAATTTAGCGATCTAAAGAACTCATCAAAAAAAGAATTTTTAGAAACGTGGCTTTGAAGTACTATATTTTCGAACAAGATATCCAGTTTGCCATAATGCTATGTATAGAGTATTGCTGCATTATTTAATAACTGCATACAAAATAAAAAACTTACCTATACCATTTTTAGCGAATGAACAAAACCTTAATCCAAATACATGAGTACTTTAGCTCTACATAGCCACTGATGGAATTCCATTACGGAATTTTGGATATCGATATGTAAGATATTATCATTATTGATGGTTTATGCACTCTGAACCGATGCAGAAGTGTAATCCAAACTTAGAAATTGCCAAATACTGTAATCCAAATCTGGAAAGCCTTGTCCGTAATGGAATGCGGTAGAAACCATTATCGTTATGGCTTATGCATTAAGTATTTAAAGCTTTTTGCAGTTATGTAACTAGTTACAGCATTTTTAAATCTTTAGGTTCTACCGCTACGTACGTACGTACATACATATTCAATTTGCTGTTATGTAGAAATGTACTTAATTTAGAAAAGAGTACTATGCATGCATGATTCTATGTTAGATATCTAACAACTAGAAAGCAATATTTATAATTCCGTATAACGATAAGCGTCAATGGAGTGAATAAAAAGAAACTACGTACGTATGTACCTGTAGAAATTACATTAGCATCAATTAACTTGGTGTTAAGGAAATGGATCTATATATATATTTTTTTTTAGATTCATTGGTAATGTTGCTTCTTAAAATATTTGAGTTTATAGGCCGAATGCATAGGGAACATCTCTAAGTGCACCTTTCAAAAGGAGTATATTCATAGTAAAGGTTGATCTCTACGTAAACGCATGTTGTCTTAATGAGATTTATTTAACAGTTAGACACGAGACTTCTTTGATTATTAGCGCGTCCAAAATCAATGATCTAAATTTTGGAACTTGATTTATTTTTCATATGCTTAACTCGGTTTTGATCGGGTTTAAAATATGAAACAAACTCTAATCTGACTGTATTTCTAAAACCAGCTACGTAATATTCTTTTTTAAATTGCGCGCAATAAAGATTGATGTTTAATCTTATTTAAATCCTTACTTGTGCATGTGCCTTTTTTTATTTGTTGGTTTATAATCACGGATAATTTTGCGTTCACATATTATGTGCAAAACAATTCAGATTATATTATTTAATTAGTTTATAAATTCGAAATCGCCCCTGGAAGTTATTTCTCTCTTACTGTCTCAATGAATTTTTGTTTATGTATTGTCCTATAATATATAAAATAAAATAAAACAAAATATAATGTGGTAGGTATTATAATATAGTATTGTGACAATAGTTGAACTTTGACTGAGGGATAAACATGATTACAAAAAATAACCACATACGTAATAAATACAGTAAAATATTTAAAATATTTAAAATATTCTAGGGAATACATATAATAATATTTAATTTACCTTTATTAAGAAATTTAGTTTTATATATTGACTTATTCCGGATGACTTTTACGTACGTACACCAATATACGTACAAGTAACACATTTTTGATAACAGATATTATTAATTATACCAAAAATGCAAGTGTTCAAAAAACGCAAGTGTTCAAAAACGCAAGTGTCCGTACGCATAAGTAGCTATATTTATGTATTTGTATAATTTGTATAACTAATCTATTTAATCTATTGTGTAGTTTTTAAAAATAAACAATAGACATATAAGTATATTATTGTTATCAAAAATTTTGTTTAATCCCACACGTGGATTAGTCACTGGTTTACAATACATAATATATACATCTAATTAAGTTTCATTCATTCTATTATTAGACATTCTGTGATACTAAAGTATCTCATTGTGCCATGTGTGCCATGTCACACTCCTATACCGATATAAAAACAAGTTAATAAACAAGGAAATATTATAAAGATTATTAGCTTGCTTTATTTGGAGATATATTGTATATTTACATATACTGCATATAACGATAATCCTGATTTAAACCGAAGGGCTTTTCGTTTTTTAATAACTGACATTGTTAAAATAAACAATTGATAACGGAGTATGGCTGGTAAGTGCTTACATACGTACGTACGTATGTATGTAGTTGTTTGATGCGTACACGGAGATTTGGAATTACTAAATTTATCGTTATTATCGCATTTAATATTGATATCATACAGTACGCCATAATAGAATTCGATTGATGTTCTAGAAACTAGTTTATACAATAAAATCAATCTTTTTAAACAAGCCACAAACCAATTGATAACAATGATTTACTATTTTTAATCCTACTTTTAATCCTTTTTTTTAATCTCGAGTTTTCTATTATGTCAATTTTGTATCGGCATATCAGCATCTAAATTTTAAGTGTCCTAAAGGCTTAGATATGATGAAATGATGGAATAACCATGTGATTATCTCTAAAAAAAAATCATAATACTGCTTTAACACAATACATCAATACATGTATTAATAAAGTCCTTATTGCTGGGTAGTCGTTATGTTTGTGATCTGCAAAACGCAGCAAACCCCTAAATTAGTTAAATTAGATTATAATTAGATTATAGATTTTATTGGTGTCCGGTCATGAACTTCAGAATTGTTTTAATTAAACGGGCATTTAAAATCATGCACTATATTTTGTTATATCCTTATTTTTTACCAGTTTCGAAAAAAGATCCATTTTTGTATATTTATAGATTCATTGGATTTTTTTTTTTTTTCTGATTCGATTTGTTTCTGGAACTTCTGAGCTCATGCACGTATGTACGTATGTACTCATTACGTATTAATCCCATATTAATCCAAAACAAGCCACACTATACAAGCCGACAGAGCAGTAAAGGCGAATGATGGCTAAAACAATAACAATATAAATTACAATGCATTTGTGAATGCGTACATATGTAGATATATGTGCATACGTAATAATATAATTACAATTGGTCCAGACCAAACTACCACGAAATTAAGCAAAATAATGGAACAAATAAAAGGTGCATCGATTTTCTTTCTGTGTGACAACTGATCTTTCGGGCAAAATTGTTCTATTGCCATGTCCATCACTCTTTCAAATTACTACAAATTCTTTATTTATGAAACAAAAAAGAATTTGTAACTGTGGTGCAAGTATAAGCCGCCGAATTTCCTTAAATTTTTTTATATAAATATCCCTAGTTCCTCCCAATCGATCCATATTCAAATTTTTTTAAAAAATATAAAAAAAAGCTAAAACGTTAACCATTTTCATCAATCATTTAAAAACAAAAAAAATTTATATCTATCATCATATTTTTCCTTTCTTACGTAACATAAATGGCGTCACCTTTTAACCTAATCAAAATCGATTCCTCACCTAGTGTGAGTGATTCTCTACTAAGTACATTAAGTAACGAGGAAAGCGAACTATCTATCAAAACACTTCATGGATTTGGCACTCCAAGAGTGCAAACCCGAAAGAAACGTAGCATTGATTCATCTTTTTCTTCATTAAAATATCCGGACTTTCCTGTGAAAACTCAATGTTCTAGTTGTAGCAAACTAATTACTACTCAAATTCATCATAAAAATGGAAAATTTGTATATATATTAGCCATGGGATTATTTAGTTTGACAGTGGTTTTATTCTGGGTTCCTTTTGTCGTGGATTCTTGTAAAGGTTAGTGTCACTTCTATTTGTATTTCTATTTGTATTTCTATTTGTCACTTTTATTCATCAAATTATTATTTCCTTTTCTCTTTCAATCTTAAACGCTTTGTTTTAACCAATACTCTTGTTTGCTTTTTTTAGATGTAACACACAGTTGTCCAAATTGTGGTAATCATCTAGGGACACGCCATAGACTGTAAAAATCTACTATTGTTGGTCGCTACGCGCCCAATAACTATATATTATCCATACCTATATTCATCCAAATAATCTATTCCATCCAAATAATCTATATAATAATTAATACAATTATTTAGTACATAATTCCTCTAATTCCTTTGTAATTATAATGGTGAGCGAAATTCACAAAAAACAAAAAACAATCTCCCAAATTATATCATTAAATCTTAATTTGGTGATTGGTTATAAGATTACCATGTAAGATTTTTGTTAATAAGAAAAAGACTTGCAAATATTAAAATAGTTAAATTTATGAAATAAAAATAAATAAAATCAAATATAAAATATTTAATAAACAACCACATATTTTTGGGGGTTTTTTTTTAATTTTGTAATATATACTTACATACGTAGTTGATAGCAGATAGGTACAATTGAATATAAAGGTAAAAAGTAAAGCAGGAAACTAATATTTCCTCACCAATCTCGGATCCTGTCGTAGCCAATAAAATTTTAAGTTAATTTTGATAATTTTAATAAGATTATTAATTTAATAATCGTTCATATCTCAAAAAATCTCAATTACACAAGGTGGTATGATCCGAAATTGAGTCCTGATAATATTGATTAAAAATGTGCTCCTGCATAAGAAGAACTAACATATCTGGTTCTAGTTCTTCATTGTGTAATATTAAAAAAAAAAAAAAAAAAAACTTGAAGAGTACGTACGTACAATACGTACAACACATCAGATATGTGCTTACGTATACGTGTGCGCACTAATTGCAGAATTGTACTAATTACCCAAATATCACAAGGGAAGCGCTTAACGAGGCTAAAATGTATCGTTGTACAGGCTGATCATAGGACAAATTCTTTCTTGTTTATGCGGATCACACTTATAACACATATAAAATGCGTGAATATTTAATTAATCGTTTTGTACAACTCTTAAAACTTTATACACTTCGAAAGTGTAAGTTGTCTCATTTCCTTTTTTTTCAATGTTGAGAACTTTGTAATACAACGAAGAATAACATTGTTTGTAAATATCTAAATAATCATCAATATTTAGCTGTGGATGAATTTTTTATAAACTATAAAAAAATTTTAATTTACATGGGTTTCCTGGATCAAGGTAATTCAATAGTTGAAATTTATATAAAAATTTTATATATCAATCTGTTTTTTATCTATTAATAATCTTGATTTATTATTATTATTATTATTATTTTCTTTTCATTTTGTTTTCATTTTGTTTAGATTCTTATCAAAATATTATTTTGGACGATGACTCTGAAATTTCGTTATTCGAAAATACCAAAAATGTTTATTTATATTCTCAAAGTAATACCATTGGGGAAATTTTTGATCCTCCTATCGATTTAAATTTATGTTCATTACCAACCGAAATACTTTTGAGAATCTTGTATGAACTTATTTTATCCGAATCTCCTAATCCTCCAAAGACTGCTGTAACTTCTCTACCTTTAGTATGCAAAATCTTTTACATGTTATCACATGATCGTATCGTATGGGAACAAGTTTTCATGTCTGAATATGATGTTTCGGCAAGAAAACGTCGGTTTGTCACGTGTAATTTCAGAAAAATTTTCTTTCAACGTTCTCAATTAAATGTTGATACTATGGATTCTAGTCTTCGTGCTTTGGATAGTTATTCTATCAATGATTTATCTCAGAATGAATCTACTTTAAATAATGTTTTGAATGCTTTGACATGCCTATGGGTTCTTGTTTCTGAAAATGGTTTGTTATTAACATAATAATAATAATAATAATGATATTAATATAATAATAATGATATTAATATAATAATAATGATACTAATAATAATAATAATTATATTAATAATGATACTAATAATTATATTAATAATGATACTAATAATAATAATTATATTAATAATAATATTATTAGTATTATGATTATTATTAGTGTTATTATTATTAATGTTATTATTATTATTATTATTAGTGTTATTATTATTAATGTTATTATTATTATTATTATTAGTGTTATTATTATTAATGTTATTATTATTATTATTATTATTATTATTATTATTAATGCTATTAATCTTATCCAATATATTTTTTTTTAATATTTTTTTATTTATTTAGACGGAAGAAATTCAAAAAAGCTTCTTGAAATGCGTGCTCCTGAATTTTGTTCTCAAGTCTTTCATCTATTATATGCTGACATGGACTCTTCATTAAAACATCTTGCATGCATATTTATATCTATTAAAATCATATCAATGCTATTAGTCTATGGTAAATTTATCTTCTTCGAAATTTATATTCCTATTATTCCCACTATTCTTTTATCACTTCGTTATTCCTAATTTTTTTACTCTTTTTTTATTTTTACTCTTTTTTTTTTTTTTTAGGATTAGGTCCATTTGATAGTATTATAGAGCGTATTGCTGTCAAATTACGAGGACGTGTAATTCGTTGGGATCCTAATAATGATGTTGTGTTTCCTATGCTTGATTGTCATGCTTTACACATTTATCTTTTATACTTTGCTAATGAAGAAAGAACTCCTGTTATTCCCGAATCGAGTATTTTTGATTCAAGAAAATGTGATAAATGGTTACAATGGACTCATATGGTTGATGTAAGCTTCTTTTAATTAATATAATATTCAATTTTATTATCTTTTTTTTTTTTTTTTTTATTCATAATTTTTTTTTTTAGGTATATTCTTCAAATAAAATTTTATGGTGTCTTCGAAATGATGGTTATGATTGGCCTAAAAGTCCTCAAAGATATTGGACTGGTTTAGTTACGGATAATGAAATTTTAACCGTTGAAAAATTATTATTAGCCGATTTTAATTTTATGGAACTTGAAATTGTTGCAGAACATAGTGAAGAAGGTTTTGAAAATCTTGTTGAAAAAGTTGATTCAAATTATGTAGATAGTGCAAAGTATTATATTTTAGATGGTTCATTAACTGATGATAATGGTAAAGAATTTATTATTGAAGGTGAATCTATTCCAATCGATAAAGGTAGAAGGGTAAATTTTGTTGGTAATAAAGTTTGGAATTTTTGTGGTTTTATGACTGCTTTTGGTATTATTGGGAGATGTTGGTTAAACGGTGTAAATATTGAAAATGCTGGTTTTTTCTGGCTTTGGGAAGATATATAATTTTTCGAAATAAATATTAAACCTCTGTATAATTTGTTTACAGTTAATTAAATTTTTCTTCGTACTTTTATATTTGGTCATTATAAATTACAAATTTCTTACTTATATCTACAAATATATCTCCGACTATTAAATATCATTATCTGTGTGTAACATTATCATTACCATTACCATTACCATTATCGCGAATTCACTATTGTTGAGAGTATAAACCCACTATTAAAATCGTAAATCTAACAAATTAATCTATTGTATATATGTCGTAGGTGGGAATAGAATTTTAGTTGATTCGGAATTTTAAGGTTAGGGTGGGGATTTTTAGTATAATTATTCCGTTCTAATCTAAGTAGATTCCGAACCCTATTATGGTTTCATTCCCACTTACAACATATATGCATATTCCAAGCGAAAAACAATTGTCATATAGGAAAGTAATCAATAATCACAATAATCAGCATTAGCGTTAGTAATTCAACAAAGTAATTCATACCATATTGAGAATATTGAGAAATAATGAGAATATATCGAGAAATATTGAGAAATATTGAGAAATATTGAGAAATATTGAGAAATATTGAGAAATATTGAGAAATATTGAGAATATTGAGAATATTGAGAATATCGAGAAATATTAAGAAATATTGAGAAGATTGAGAAGATTGAGAAGATTGAGAGTATTACGAATATTGAAAAGATTGAAAAGATTGAAAAGATTGAGAATATTGAATACTTTAACGTAAAAAAAAAATTTTACAATTTATAATTATTAGGTTGTGCAAAATGACGGATAATAATTTTCTATAACAAACCTAATAAACAAAATACTTAAACTTTTTGACTAAACAAATCTGAATCCGCTGTTTTTATTCAACTTTCCACTTGATATATAACAATCAAGTACGACTCCCAACCATCTTGAAATTAAACATGAATCAAATGCTTCAAATAAAAATAAAAGTTTTTTATGAAGCAATCTTAAATCACAACCTTCCATAAAATATCGAAATCCGTTAAAAGTGAATGACCAATCGCCCCTGAATATTAGCTTTCGTAAGTTTCGTGGTATTACTCCTCCCCAGTCGATTAAGTGTTCTGAAATATCTAATATTTCCGTTTCTCCTAAAATTCTTATTCTACCATCATGTAATCTAACTTCTTCAAGTAACTGACAATTGCAGAATAATTCCGTTATTAATTCCAACGCTAACGGTGAAACTGTTAATTCTAATTCAATCAAATTTATACATGATTGATTGATTGTACTGAACAAATTTGGTGTAATTTGAATAATTTCCGGTGAATTAACTCGTATCCAAATTATTTTGAGTTTGCTTAATCGATTTTCGGTTTTTCCAATCATTGAAATATGATCTGAATTAAGATTATTGAGAACAAATTCTAATTTTTTTAAATTTTTAAAAGTTTTCAATGATGCTTGATGTAAATATGAATTTTCATAAAATCCCGTTTTGCTGTGTAATTTTAATTCTTGTAATTTTTCACATTTAACTAACCATGAAAGTGAATATCGAAATGAATCATATGAATATCCTTTATGAATTATTGAAAGGTGTGTAAGGTATGGTGCTTTACTTTCCAATGCTCGTTGAATGGCTAAATAAAATGTTGGTGGTCCATTAATTTCTATTTCAATCCTTTTTAATTTGGTTTGTGATTGAATAAATTTCGCCATCGCATCTTTATTTTTATTGCAATCTTGAAGGTTTATTTCTTCTATATTTTGCGCAACTAATGCCAATTCATAAAGAATTTCATTTTGGAGAATAGCTAATACGTAAAAAAATATATATATTATTAAGATTAATATTAGTAAAATAAATAGTATAATAAAGATTAACATAATTGTATACATATATGTATATACATATATACATGTAGAAATGGAAATTACCGTTACACGAAATTTTAACAATTTTAGAAAAGAAATCGTTTGCTCCAGGTGCATAACAAGTGAGTGGCAATATGTTAACCTTTCTAAACTTGAGTTCTGCTGCTTTAGTATCGGTAAATTCGAGTACTTTTAATCTAGGTGAATCCGTCATAAACATTTTGCATAATTCTCTAAAAACTACATAATAAGGAAAATCCGAAGTTGTCGTGGTTGGAAGCCAAAATCCAATAACATCACTGAGGTAGGTAAAGTTAAGTGTTGTTAAAATCGATGGATAATTGAAAGTTGGTCGTCTTTGAATTATACGATTGGGCATTTCAACTCCTGAATTCTTGATTGAATGCTTAGATTCATCACTTAGGCACCATATATATGTGTCAACAAGTGATCGTTTACTATCCTCGTACCATTCAATACGTTTGCCTTTTCCTGGTACATGACGGTAGTTCTTTTGTCCATTATATCGAAACGCAAATGGATTTTTCCAAAGTAATTGTATTGCGCTTATACTCCATGTATGATTAACCAATACGCAATTTCGTAAATCACGAAATGAAAGTTCTTTCAGTATTTGATGAAGTGTTTCAGGTGGAAGCGTTGGTGACATTTCTATTTGGTACTTTATAAAAAAACAAAAAAAAAAAACAATGAATAATGAATAACGGTAAATAAACAACCTCAATGATTTGTCATTCTGTAACCTTTAATATGTCTTCAAGTTCTCTGTAAAAAAATAAATTACCTTCGTTTTTCTCACTTTGTCAACTTTACAAACCGTTATGTTTGTTTTTAAAAAAAAATTCAAAACTCTACTCAATAAATGTTCTATAAAAAGTCGCGTTTCTACGATTCATAAAATACAAAAAAATCCACGTATAACTTTTATATGTCTCATGATTTCATGATGTTTGTTTATATTAAGTTACGCATAAACTCGATTTAGATTAGGATACACTAAAACGTTAATTTCTCTCATTGTTACAGTCCAATTATGTCATGTAATAAAAAAGAAAGTTTAATTATATAATATTTGATACCTAATTCAATTTCGTGATTAACTTTAATCATCTGAATCTAAATTTAGTTAATCCCTTTATATAAAAATTTTATATATCAATCTGTTTTTTATCTATTAATAATCTTGATTTATTATTATTATTATTATTATT